ATTAGAAGTGACAAGCAAAAACCACACATTTCAAAATCTGTGGTTTTTGCAATCTGGATATAAAAAGAAACAAATATAGCGTAAGTGGGGAGGATGTTATCAGGTTGTAACACCTTCCTGGAAATATAAACACATATGCAGTATAATGTGATCCTTTATTGACTACGTTTCGCCCACACAGTGGGCTTTTTCAAGTCACAAACAGAACTTGTGACTTGAAAAAGCCCACTGTGTGGGCAAAACGTAGTCAATAAAGGATCACATTATACTGCATATGTGTTTATATTTCCATTGTGTCGGTATTTTATACCATTTATTTCCAACACCTTCCTGGTTCATATACCAGTCACTATCGTTAAAAACCGTTGGGAAAAACACATACTGCATGACGATAGCGGGATCCAAATACCGAAGCTCTACTGATACACACTATTACCTGTGTTCCACGGTGTACGTACACTGAGAGGTGGAGTATCAAGATGTGGGTCAGGTCTCCTTGTGGGCACACATCAAAATCAAAATGTTTCATTTACCAAACAAATATAAATGCATAATATTTTTTAAAATCCCATAGTATGCACAGCATGGGTTAGAGCACCAGTTTCCAACATTTTAAGAAGACGTACGATGCTTTTTTTCTTAACTTCAATAATAAATTTGCAAAGCTTCACATACTAATTTGCGAACCTTCACATGTTAATTTGCGACATCCACGTGTTAACAGTTGTAATTTTAGGCTTCGTTAATTAAGACAATCCAGCGGTGGCTGGAGGAGCATTGCTTGCTGCCAGGCTTGGCGGACCCTGGGAATAATACCTGGTGACCTCACACTGGGAACACCATATGACCACTGCAGATCTGAACCAATTTCTTGGAGGGTGAGCTCATTGGTTCTCCAAGAATGTTCCAGATACACACCTCTGTGGCAGAGATGATGCAGACACCGAGAGAGAGGGAGGGAGGGAAGGAGAGAGAGAGAAAGAGAGAGGGAGGGAAGGAGAGAGAGAGAGGGAGGGAGAAAGAGAGAGAGAGGGAGGGAGAAAGAGAGAGGGAGGGAGGGAGGGGGAGAAAAAGAGAGGAAGGGAGGGGGGAGAAAGAGAGAGGAAGAGAGAGACGGAGGGAGAGAGAGAGAAGAGGGATGGGGGGGGGGGTGCTCATTGGTGCTTTTTTTCTCCCTATTCTGATCTTCAAAAAATGCAACAGACTTTCTGAAGCACGAAAGGAAATTTTGGTTATGGAAATATTGAACCTAGAGCACAGAGGAGGACAGGAAGCGAAGAGTCATAAATTAAATTAAAAGAAATCCCAAACTCATTCTTTTCGTACGCAAAATTCAGGGTGAAAACTACATGCAATATAGAGCGCTTACCTGACGGAGGTGCAACATAAACTGATGTCAGTAAGGTAATGAATGAAATACTGAATTCACAATTACGACTCGTTATTCAGTGAACCACTCAGCATTCTACAGTTCGACGACCCTATTAAGGTTTTCACGAATGAAACTCAAAACGCAGCTAACCTCTCCACAATTTCTGATATAGCGTATACCCTGTTGAGTTTAAAGAAGTCATCGACAGCATACCCATGCGGTCTGCCCCAGGCCCAGACTGATGGAACTCCAGATTCATAACAAATACAAGAAACCTCTGTGTCGGGTCTTTGGTATTCCATGAAAAAATAAACACGAATGCAGTATAATGTGATCCTTTATTGACTACGTTTCGCCCACACAGTGGGTTTTATCAAGTTACAAACAGATCTACTTGGGTAAATGTTCATGTAGATTTGCCAGGACGGGTCCTGACCCGGATCTTCTGTGTGTGGTGACCCAGCAGTGGCTCCCGAAGTAGTGTCAGAGTTTGTACAAGTGATATACCGTTTACAGCCCTATAGCGGGGCACGGTGAGTATTCCTGTCAAGTGGAGTACCATTTACAGCCCTATGACAAGGGTACGGTTAGTCTTTCAACTCTATTTGGGCCATTCCTTGCACTCAGGCCGCACCCCGAGTGCCAAAACGACTCAGAGATTCTCTGGAGATGTGTTAAACACCTAACGTTAGTTGGACCTGCACATCCCGCGCAGGTCCGCCTCAAATACAACGCACCCAACATTCTTCACCTGATTATCCATCCTATGTGTACTCATGTACTCTTTACCCAGGTACATCTGTTTGTGACTTGATAAAGCTCACTGTGTAAGCGTAACGTAGTCGGTAAAGGATCGCATTATACTGCATTTGTGTTTATTTTTCCATCGTGTCGGTATTTTATCACTTTTATCTCCCCAGTATTCTGTGAAGGAGTCTAGACACAAGTGGCATCCCACAGTCGTTTAAAACTACTGATATTGACCTATTTTACAAAGGTGGAGGTACAGCAATTGCGAAAGCTAATAAGCAAGATTGATCGCGTGGAATGGCAATAATTGTACAATTCAAGACACCATGAATTTGGAGAAGGTCGCTCCTGCCTTTCATTACATTGTTCTGGATGCTGATGTAGTATACACTGATTTTAGAAAATCCTTCGATAAGTGAGATCATGGTGTGATAGCACACAAAATGCGTGCAAAAGGACTAACTAGAAAAGTGGGCAGAGGAATGCTGAAGTTAATAGAACTCAGAGGGCAGTAGTAAACAGTGAAGTCGGAGGCTGCCGCTCTGAAAAGCTGCGCTCCACCTCAGTTTCTCTCTATTATATTCAATATGGACGAGGACCATAAATCATATCACCGTAACACTTTTTGTAGATGACACCAGAATCTCAGTGGAAGTGGTGTCCGTTGAAGATAGTGAATCTTCAAGCGAATATAAATCAAGTTTTCCAGTGAGCCTCGGGCAGAACAAGTTTCAGTTTCTTCGCTTTGTAAGAATGGATGAAATATACTGAAACAGAGTATAGGGACAAACTCAAGTCACTTAAGAGTAAAAGTTTCGTGTAGAGTGATGTCAAATCTCACACTCAAGGATCACAACTCTGTTGCTATCGATACTGCAAAGATAATGATAGGCTGGATAACTAGATCGTTCAGTTCAAGAGATACTGAGCTAATGATGATACTCATTAAGTCACTTGTTCTATCCTGGCTGGAATACTGGTTAGCTAGAAAACTTAGATAACTTTCACTGCCCATATATAATCAGTTAAACATCTGAATTACTGGGGACGCTTAAAGTCCCTTCAGCTGTATTCCTTGGAACGTAAGCAAGAAAAGTACATCGTAATTTACACCTGGAAAATCCTGAAGGGCCTGGTTCCTAACCTGCACATTGAAATAATTCAATATGAAAATGAAAGTTTGTAAGTTCCTCAAATCGGTTCCTGTCCAGCCAGACTGCGTGCAAGAGCTAAATCTGTCACGCCAACAACCAGAGTATCTGGTCTGGAATCGGGCCGCGGGGGGCGATAACCTTCGAAAGAGGCATAAGGTAAGCATAAAGTAAGCATAAGAGTCCGCGGACCACAGGCTGGGAAAAACTGGATTAGTTTATTTGCTCTGACGGAGATAGTGAGTTTTATGGGTGTGTGACATGTGCATTTAAACCGAACCTGCCGACTTCGATATGTTCTCAGGTGTTCCTTCCCCCCCTCCCCCCCATTCCGTCTATATAGCTTGTTATTGCAACTGACTGTGGAATATATTTTAGCAGTTTACCGAAGGTTTAGGCCATTACTCCTTCCTTGTTTTTATTACTTTTTATTGGTACGAGCGTTGGGTAACCTACACGTTCAAAGTGCTCTGGAAATACCAATACCACCACCACTACTAATTACTACTACTAACTACTAGTAGCTACTATCACTACTACTACTAGCTACTACCACTACTAGCTACTTCCACTACTAGCTTCTGCAAGCTACTACCATTACTAACTACTACTAGGTACTAACACTACTACTATTAGCTACTATCACCACTGACTACTACTAGCTACTACCACTACTACTAGTTGCTACTACTAGCTACTACCACCACTACTATTACTAGCTACTACCACTACTACTACTACTAGCTACTACCACTACTACAGTACTAATTACTACCACTACCACTGCTAGCTACTACCATTACTACTAGCTACTACCACTACTAGCTACTACCACTGCTACTACTACCATTACTACTATTACTACTACTAACTACTACTGGCTTATTCAGCAACGAAGCTTATTTGTATAAAAATCACCAGAACTATAAGTGTTAAATGATATAAGGTAAATTTAATTAAGCTGAACTCTAGAGTTTGGGAAGACACAACTGTGTTAGGAAATTTAGTAAGATTAGGTAAGGTTGCTACCTTTTGTGTACAATCAAAATTTTCACATAACATGTTAATTAACATAAATATCTCTCTTAATATACGAGATAAAGGTATTCGTCTTTTTGGTAATTTTGTTATTGGCCTGATCAGTCAGGTTGTTGGTGCTAGGACCAGCGCTCAGCTGTGCCCCGTGGTTCTGTGACTATAGCATTCGCTTCACAAAGCGAGAGTCCAGGTTCGATTCCCAGCAAGGGTAGAAACATTGGGCGTGTTTCCTTACACCGGTTGTCTATGTTCCCTATCAATAATATGGGTACCTGGGTGTTAGTCAACTGGTGTGGGTCGCATCCTGGGACAAAATTGACCTAATTTGCCCGAAATGCTCAGCATAACAAGCGGCTTTCTATATAGTAGTATGTCATTGATGTCAGCTAGGACTGTATACCTTGTATATGTACTTGTAGTAAATAAAGATATTATTATTATTATCAGGGAGTGACTTGGTAAAATATCTGGTTCCCGTTTTGATGATAGCTAGAGGTCTGTTGCTAACCTTCCTTATGATGGTAGGGAGGTGGAAAATTCTTGGTTCCTTAACACGTAATATGTTCTAGCTGGCTGAACGAGGGATACCTGACTGGCAGACAAGCAGGCTCTCTGGCTGGCTGGCTGGCTGGCTGGCAGCAGGCAGGGCGCACAGCCAGGGTGTGTGTAGACCACGTTAGTCAGTGTTGGTGGGCAAGTGATAGAAAGTGGTAGCTTGTAGTCTCTTCTCCACACACCACCTTTACTCTCTCTTCCTCCCTCTATACTATCGTTACTCCCTCTCTTCACACACCACCATTACTCCTTCCCTCCATACATCACCTTTATTCCCTCCCACACACCACCTTTATTCCCTCCCACACACCACCTTTATTCCCTCCCCCACACCACAGTTATTCCCTCCTATACATCACCTTTATTCCCTCCCTCATATACCACCTTTATTCCCTCCCTCCCCACATACACCACCTTTATTTCCTCCCCTCCCACACACCACCTTTATTCTCTTCTTTACTATTATTCCGAATGACTTAAGTCTTGAAAACAAACTCTCTCCATATATATAATATATATATATATATATATATATATATATATATATATATATATATATATATATATATATATATATTATATATATATATATATATATATCAGAGAACGTCCATAAAGACAGACCTGCAGTATTTAAGTGCAAAAAGTGGTTTAACGAAAATGCGAGAGTCATACCGAGGGAAAACTTGAAGTGATTATAACCACACTACTTCAGTCCAGTGAAGTGTTGTTTTGATAGTGACATGAAGTAGACTACCAGAAGTAATAATTAGAAATAGAGCTTTTATTTAAAATAGCTGCGTAAAGAATTAATACTGCACTACGTGGATTGTTTTGTCTTATTGCCGTCTTTAACAACCTTGTTTGTATCCAGTAGTGAATGTGTTTCTTGAATTGTGAGGACCTTGCAAAGGCGGGGCAGTAACGTTACGTGTAGCGAAATATTTAACTCCCCGCGCCCTGATCCACCGGGAAGCCTGGCCGAGGGCCTGGCCGCGGGGGGCGTTGGCCCCTAGAACCCCCTCCGGTAGACACAGTAGGACGATACTGCTGCACAGGCTACAGGTAAGGTGATACAGTACATTAACACCAATCTGTTTATCAAGGGGAGTATTTTCCCATGTGTAATTTTTTTTTTTACTCGGGCAAACCACGAGTTAAAAATACAATTTCACAGCCATTTTCCGACTTTTTTTTTTGTCATATGATGACTCGTTGATGACTGTGTGCTCGTTTGACCAAGGCTTTGAACTGACTTTTCTGATTTACCCCGTAAAATTGTATATCTATCATAAGACTATATAAATCAGGGCAAGTGAGACGTAAAACTGAGGTCAGCGCGTAAGCCACTGGACCAGCTGGCTGCAGTAAGATTCATACAGCTAGGTACGTATATTTATACACCATAGGGAGGTTAACATGGGCCATCATTGTGACCACAAATTCACTTTTTAACAGATGAATATCCCGCCATCGTTGCCTTGACGAACTCTAGCTCAAGTCCCCTCAAAGCCGTCGCCACGACTCACGAAATCGTAATAACACCATTGCAAACAAACCACGGTACCGGTGGGGTTAGAACCACGCTGGCAGGAGATTTATCTGTAAAAACTTTCATTTGTGGTCAGAGTGGGGCCTGTACTAACTTTCCTACAGTGTATAAATATACCTAGTTGGATAAATCTTACTGGCCCAGTGGCTTATGCACTGGCCTGGAGTTTTACAACTCGCTTGCCATGGGTTCTAACCCCACCCGTACCTTAGTTTTTGTAATTGTTTTATTACGATTTCATAAGTCATACTTAAACTACTGGCAGTGGATAATATCTCCATCATAGTGGGTTGATATACCCGATTAAAGTCGCTATGTGACAGATTTCCGTGGAACGGTCTTCTGACAGTCTCTAAAGGTATGGGAGAACATTGATACATTCTTTCCTAATACAGAGGAAACACCTCGCCACGAGAGCGGCAGGTCTGTCGAGCCCTTCATCGAAGTTATGGAGGCGAACACACACACCAAGGCTGAAATCTATGACTTGCCTGACTTGGGCCACTAGGCCTGCTGCAGCACTACTCTGTTCTTATGACTAACCGCCTCAAACTCGCTTCACCAAGCTGAGACTGATCCCCTAATATCTACATCACGACATCTACTGTCTACTCTGCATTTCAGCTGAAGCCTGCTGAGCTGGCGGTGTGTTTGGTCAATAGATATCAGACTGTTGCACATGTCATGAGTCATGTCCTATTCATTTTGTCCCGAATGACCCACTCAGGTTTATCGTCTAACATAAAAAAAATTGCCTTTCCCTCTCTGCAGCTACACAACTGGCAGGACAGTGCCAGTTGTGTAGCAGTCTAGACTGCTGACGATCTGAACACGCGGCAAGACACCGTCAAGCGTCCTCTTGACTCGATCGTCTTGAGAACACCTCGCTGCCCCAGTGGTGTGTGGGCCACACTCCTCTTGCATCAGTTTCCCAGAGATCACTTTTTTATGAGAAGGAAGACGTGTGGTATGCCCGGGGCATGACGTTGACAAATCTGACGGGACGACTTTCTCATCGGTGTCGTACAACTGTATGACCCGTAATGCTGGCCTGACTTTGTTTGTCCATCTGTGGGGGGTCATCCTGGTGACCAGCGCGCTCTCTTCCCCCCGCTTTCTCGTTTTTTTTCTCGTTCTTTCTTTGTTGTTGTTCTCTCTTTTATGGTCATCTCTTTTTCGGTCCTTCTCTCGTTTTCTTGTTCTCTTTATCTTTCTCGCTCACACGCGCGCGCGCACACACTGCTGCAAAGCTTAGTATGCAGGATACCTGTCAGCGATAGTACAGTGTTGTGCACTTTACAGGATATGTCAGTGATAGTACTGTGTGTAGCTCATTGCTGAAAGATATACAGCCCGGGGGCTGTATATCTTTCAGCTGTTCAGTAATTGTTCCGTCTCTAAGGACTTGTTGAAGATTTCGACTCTGGTCTCAAGAAGTTACTCCGCTCTTCCTCTCGCTACCCACGGGATACATTATCAGAGTCCTTAATCTTTTGCCGTGGCGTTACTTTAGCATATACTCTTCATTCTTTCATTGGTGCGTGGATTGTTTTCTTTGTGTGGATAAAGTCTTGGCTGACATGTTCCCAGTCACCATTTCTTATTCCCCAGTGAATACTTGTCGCAGTTGTAGTAGTTCTTGGCACGCCTCTCAGGCGTCCATCACTACCACCAGTCTTTCACTTTTACCACTTCATCCTTCATGTATTTGTCGCCTTGTAAGGCTAGGAAGCTGCTCTGTTTTATCCTTTGCTGTTATCCTTCATGGTGGCCCCGCTGTCCTTCATGGTAGCCCTGCTATCCTTCATAGTGGCCCTGCTGTCTTCATGGTCGCCTCGTGATAGAGAAGTGTACTCTCGTTTGATTTATTTTTGAGGCTCAAATCAAGTGGGTCATTCCTGACAGTGATCATTGAATGTTCGAGCCTTCGTCCACTTACTGTACTGTCCAGTGTCGCTACCCCACTCTCCTCACCTTGTTGCCTCTTCCTACCTAGAAAGTGTTCTGGGGATCAATGCTCCCGCTGCCTGGTCCATGATCAGTCCCTGATCCCCGGCAAATCAGGGCCTGATTAACCAGACTGATAAAGTACTGACTCTAGGAATTTATCCAGTTCCCTATTGAAAACAGCTTGGAGCCAATTGATAATCTCCATTATGTATGATGGGTTGCTATTGAACAGTCTTTGGTTCCTGACACTTACTGTGTTTTCTCGGTGTGCTCGCAGCACACTTACTCTTCATTGGGGTTAAGTTTCACCCTCTACCAAGTCTTTTGCTTCGTTGGAAGTGGTTTGTGTGTGTATGTGGGGGGGGGGGGACCAAACACTTGCTTTGTTGCCTCGCCTCTACAGGGTTTAGCAGGTCATGCCAGTTCTTCAGCAAGTTGATCCGAGCTAGTCATCTTTATTTTCGCCCTTTTTTTATTTCCACTTCTTGTTTGCTGTGCCCTCGTCTCTGAGTGTTGTCTTTGTTACTGATGCAACCTGTGGCTTTGACAGATGCTTTGTTACATCACTTGATTCGTAGTTTCTTTTTCTTTCTCCTTTGCCATATCTTCATTTGTTCTTGCGTTCTACACCTGTTGTTCTATTTAACGTTGCACGCCGCTGACAGTATCTTGGGCTTTAACGCTTTATTGAATATTATTTAAGAGATGGACACTATCAGATGGGCATGATTAGTAAGGTTTTGGCACTAGCATCACGTAGTGACAGGGAGGTGAAGGATGACGACTACTGGCAGCTTGGCTACAAGGAAGCGCGCACACAGACATAAGTGTCGATGGTAAAATCTTCGCCATGCATACAGTTTTAAATGCAGAGAAAATTTGATGCAGTTAACACAGACAGGTGACAGGTAAATCTTAATTGGTGTTAAAATGGTATATACAGTACCGACAAGTTGATTAAGACATGTGCAACAGTTGGGTATCTTTATTGTTGAAATGTTTCACCTACACAGTAGACTTCTTCAGTCAAATACAGAGGCAACAGGTGTAGTAGTGAAATAAAGATGTAATTAGTCCATCAGTCTTGGAGAAATAATATTTGAAAAATAGTATTTGAGGTTGATGGAATGATTACATCGTTATTTCCTTACTACAACTGCTGCCTCTGTATTTGACTGTAGAAGTCTACTGTGTAGGCGAAACATTTCAACAATAAAGATTCCTAACTGTTGCACATGTCTTAATCATGAAATCTTAATTGATGCAGAGAGAGCAGCAGAGAAACAAGCATTAGACACAACACAGACAGATGTACGTAAATGCATAAGCGTACAGACTATATTTCAGAGTACAAGTGTGATGAAAATGCATAAGTATTTTTTAAGGGAGTGACGGGGAGATGCAGCGTAGCTGGAGGAAGGAGGAGTTGAGAGATACGACGCAGGTCAGGAAAAAGATGGGATTACGTGGTGGAGGTAAAAAACGTGAAAGGGTGAAGGTGAGGTGGTGTAAGACGTATGGCAGACGAGGCTGAGAGGATGGTGGCGAGAAGAGCACGACTGACATAAACAAGCCTTCCACCACCCGTGTATCAGAGATCAGTTATTTATACGCTAGTAAAGAAAATTGAAAACATTAGCAGTGTACTGCTACCCTGCACACTAATGATTACAGTGTACTACTAACCTGCACACTTAGGGGTTACATTGTCCTGCTACACTGGTGGTTACAGTGTCCTGCTACACTGGTGGTTACAGTGTCCTGCTACACTGGTGGTTACAGTGTCCTGCTACACTGGTGGTTACAGTGTCCTGCTACACTGGTGGTTAGTGTCCTGCTACACTGGTGGTTACAGTGTCCTGCTACACTGGTGGTTAGTGTCCTGCTACACTGGTGGTTACAGTGTCCTGCTACACTGGTGGTTACAGTGTCCTGCTACACTGGTGGTTACAGTGTCCTGCTACACTGGTGGTTACAGTGTCCTGCTACACTGGTGGTTACAGTGTCCTGCTACACTGGTGGTTACAGTGTCCTGCTACACTGGTGGTTACAGTGTCCTGCTACACTGGTGGTTACAGTGTCCTGCTACACTGGTGGTTACAGTGTCCTGCTACACTGGTGGTTACAGTGTCCTGCTACACTGGGGTTACAGTGTCCTGCTACACTGGTGGTTACAGTGTCCTGCTACACTGGTGGTTACAGTGTCCTGCTACACTGGTGGTTACAGTGTCCTGCTACACTGGTGGTTACAGTGTCCTGCTACACTGGTGGTTACAGTGTCCTGCTACACTGGTGGTTACAGTGTCCTGCTACACTGGTGGTTACAGTGTCCTGCTACACTGGTGGTTACAGTGTCCTGCTACACTGGTGGTTACAGTGTCCTGCTACACTGGTGGTTACAGTGTCCTGCTACACTGGTGGTTACAGTGTCCTGCTACACTGGTGGTTAGTGTCCTGCTACACTGGTGGTTACAGTGTCCTGCTACACTGGAGGTTACAGTGTCCTGCTACACTGGTGGTTACAGTGTCCTGCTACACTGGTGGTTACAGTGTCCTGCTACAC